TTTTCAAAAGTAATAGTTAATCGTGGTTTTACTTGGACAGGCCTGGACGGCTGCAGTGGTATGGATCTCTGACAATTTTGGTACAACTCAACTTTAGCATATCTTGTTGAAGAGGTGCATTTCCGTCTGGAAGAGAGGATTTAGGCTGTTCGTTATGCTTTTGTATGTCTAATTCGTTCAGTGTTATCTAATATCCATTACTGAACAACCTACAAGAATATAACACGGATCCAAGTATTTGCAGTTGGATCATCGATTGCTTGCTGATTTGAAACCAGTCTGCAGAAGTGGGTAAGAGGAAGTGGTACTTAACATTTCAAGAGTGAACAAAGAGGAAATGTATTTATATTTAAGTTGCTAATGCTGGATTTACTAGGCGTAAGCGCTCTCATTCTCCTCGCTTCTAGTAGTTTAGAGGAACTATTTAAGCGGGTCGCAACTGCATGATATTTGAGTTCCTGCATTGCATCGAATTCAGTGCCTCGTCTCCGTGTTGGAATGAGCAATTTTCGAGCACCAACCATATTTACCACTCTCCATAGGCAAGTATACAACAAAATTTGATTCCATATGTTCTAAATATGGCTACCATATATACAACTTCAGTATACATGCATCAAATCTGAATGCATGAAAGTAGAAGCAGGGAAAAAAGTCATACACAGTTAAATTCAGAATTTGTATAATGAAAATCGAGTAAAAGTAGTTAGGAAGTTAATTACGAATAAGTTTCTTGACGCATTGGCTTTCTTAAGCTTACTCATCCTCGAGGAGGTGTTTAAGGTTAGTTACACATCAAGAAAATTTATTCCGTTTGATCTGGAATGGGTGCTCAACAGTTTTTCTGGTGCTACTAATTGATCGCTTATCAGTCACTTCACTGTATGCTCAGAATGGTCGTCGGGTCCGAACGTCAGACTATTAATCTGAGTATTCGGTCTTTGACCTTAATACTCCAGATGACGATGACAGCAACAACACAAGAACGGTGGACCCTGGTTTTCTTGCCCTAGAGCTAGTCTTCATCTTCATCGTCAGCGAATTTTAACAAACCATTTCGCAAATATAGATGAAGGATTCTTGTATCTTACTGCATTAAGTAGGGAGTGAATGATCCAAGAAACTGCAGAAAATGGTATTGGGCAGCACCCTAATGAGACTGTACTATGGGATTCTAGACCATGTGCTTAGAGGAAAGTGACATAGGTACATCCAAAAAACGTTTGACAGGATGGGAGGATATGCCGAGTACGTTTATACCCTACCCTGGCCATAAAGCCATGGTTATCAAATGCGAAACCGATGCGTGGCTGTAGGATAACTAGATATAGATGATGCGTATACCTCGGTTCCTCATGCACTGAACAAGTGCAAGGTAGAATTGATGTTTAGTTTAAGATTTACTTGCTGGTTGCTAATACCTATTAATGAACAGTGTGCTTCGGTGAGGTCCGTGGAGAAACCAGTAGCTGTCAATAATTTGCGAACAGATGGGATCACTTGGGATTATGGTGCGGTCATACAAGTGCCGTAGCGTCTAATTTGGGAGATACTCATTGGCGATACTCATTGGCCACTTATTATTTGACTGAAATCAGCACAAAGTGTAAACACTAGAAAATAACACTTTCATGATGAGAAGCTGATGCTGAAAGTAGAAATTTTCTTACACAAAGTTTTCCTAGTTCTATAATGGTTTGCTGTTTTGCCGTCCATTTACACATTTTTTGTCCTTTTAAGGTTATCCGATCAAATCAAAGGCTGTATCTGTGTCGATGAAAATGGATTGTGTATTGAAGGTAATTACTTTAGAATAATTTTAATAACTTTAAATTGAATTTTGGATAGTGGAAAAAGTGATTATGCCTAGTTTATAAGCATACCTTCTTACTGCTTATTTGTTCTGTGTTGTTGTATAGGCTATTCTTTCATGAGGCGTAGAAAATCATTTTCTTTACTGTCATGCCGTGATAGCTGAGTGTCCGTAGTGCGCATACATGATGAAAGACAATTGCTTCGTATCAAGCAGGGTTGATGCGATTTATTTCATATTATTTGTATCTCTCTGTAAAAAAGTTCAATTATCAACGACTTACTTGTTTCAGCTGCTACTTACGTATTTCTCACGTAACAAAACTCAACAAGGATACACTCGCACATTATTTTTGACATATTGATGGATGTGAAAGTTGTTTCATTGATGATCATCAGCCTATAAGATTAGCAACAAAAATAACTAAATGAAAACCCAGCAGCCATAATTACGCTGTTTACAGAAAATTTGGAAACATTTTGTCGTGAAACAGAATAAGGCTCATCTTAATGGCCTCGAATAAAGCTGAGCAAAGTTGTCGTCGAAGTATGCTTTAAATGCAGTGGTGTGCAGCAATACCGGTGTACCGGTCGAACGAGCTGGTGCTACTGACGCTTTTTTAGGCATGGATGGCACAGGTAACAACAGTGTCATTTTCTTCAGATATCACTTATGACAGGGATTTCATTTTCTGTTTTGTTGTCGTTATCCATCCCCTTCCCCGAGAAACACATAAGCACAGCAATTCAAAGGCAACAACTGTCCATTCATTACGTATGATGCATTTGCCAGTGTCATGGCCTCACTGCATGATTCTGGTTCATAAAGCTTTCCCTCGTCCACAACACTACCTAATGATGATAACAGTTATAAAGATGGTGATAAACGTGATTGTAATTATGGTAGCGGTGACAGCAACGAGGATATATCCTTTACCTTATTCCTTGCATCATTTATCAATGAGACCAAACTCTGCGTTTTTTCTCCGCATGTATTTTTCAGCAGTTTAGCATGCAGAGGTTCTTGTAACATCTCATGGTTTAGATTTTTTCATTAGTTTCGTAGCAGATTATTAGTTGAAACTTTAAACTTACTTACGTTGCTGTTTTCGTTCAATAAAGACTATTGTTATTTATGGTAACAAGATGGATTCATAGTATGTCTTAGGTGCATATTTTATTGAGAAGTGACCTCGATCCAGGATCACTTACTAAAAAGCTTTTACGTATTTTTTCCCGTAATCAACAGTTATTTTCGTCTGCTTTCTTCTGGAAGTCTTAAATATCGTTTAAGCAGATAATATTCCATTATGTTTTGCCATATGTCTTGCGCAGATGAATATTGCAGGATGTTTCATCGAGCACTGATCAAAAAACTTACACAACATTAAGGAAGAAAAGTTCAGCTTACATATTGCCAGCAAAACTGACTAGTAGCTCAGAGAGCGGTTGATTTTTCTTATGTTATGTTCAAGAGGTTTAATTTTGTATTAAAATTATTCATTGCTCATTTGTTGAATCTTTTTTCGTCTATTCCTTTATTCATTTTCAAATCCCACCATTCCTTCAATATCCAGAGGACATTCAAAGAATATATACAAAAGATAATGACTGGAAATCCGCCGTTGCCGGTCCCAAACCCGGTTGAGAACGGAGGAAGGTTGGAGACCGTGGCGAACTCTCCGCAAAATTTCGCCACCTGCCATTCATGGTATTGACGTCATCGAAAATTATGCCGGCTCGACCGTTACGTAGTGCCGCACAGGGTGTTGGTGGATTGAGACAGCCTGCGAAAAGTCAGTGATCAGAACCTGCTCATTGCCCTCTGCCAACCTGCGGCGTAGCATCATAACAACGGCTGATGAAGATCAACGGAACCTCGACGAAGATGCCAGTCAGTAATGGAGTCGCTACTCGTTCTTAACGCAGGTGGAAGACAGCGTGATGCCATTATGGAACGTCAGAAAAGGTTCCATGAGAACTACACCGCCAGTGGGAGCGTGCAGTCGGGAATTCGAATATACCGTCACATGGAAGGAAAGAACAACAGATAGTTGATGAGGCCGTAAAGTGCCAAATGGGCATTGTTTGACTCTCGTCAACAAAATGTTAAAGCTCTGGAGTCCCGAAGCTCTGCGAGTTGGAGCTATTCTACCCAGGTATCGATATCACGACGCGCGCTCAGGCCGGTGTTGATACGCTGGTAGAACCCAACCTCGCAGATAGAATCATTGCTTCGAAGCCTGTCAACGGAAGCGTGGTCATCCTGCGACTGAAGCTACAATAGGCTAAAGCGCTGACCTTGGTACAGGTCTACGGGCCCAGTTTGGAGGGAGAATACCTTCCTTGACGAAGTGTAGTGTATTCTGTCCGAAGTGCCGAATACAGAGTCCCTCACACTGACGCGCGATTTGAATGCGCACGTCGGAGTAGACGCTAAAAAGGGGAACGGCGTGATTGGGAAAAACGGCCCTAGCGACCTCAATAATAACGGCATGAAGTTGTTGCGCTTTTGCGCAATCAACGGATTGTTCATTA